TATTTTATTTAGAGACAGAGTCTAATGGAGCTTCTGTGTTTCTGCTGAGGTGGGCTTTGAACTCCAGATTCTCCTACAGCAGCCTCCTAAACCTTAGGGATTATAGGTATGGGCCACCACGTCTGGTTTAGAGTCCCAGTTAATCTCATTTAACCTTACATAGCATCTTAAAGGCCTTATCTTTGATACAGTTACATAGGCAGGGGGCACATAATTTATTACATAACAATCTCTACTTTGTCTTAAAACAGGAATTTCTAATATTATGTTAAAATGCTATATACTTTATTTTAGGTAGACCCACAGCTTGTAGATGGACACCTTTCATATTTTCTTGGAGCTATAGGTATGCCTGGCTTGACTTCCTTAATTGGAGTACAGGAAAAAGGTCATGTAACTGCTGGATCTAATCAGACAATGGTTGTCAGTGGAGCAGCAGGTGCCTGTGGATCCTTGGCTGGGCAGGTAAACGTTCTGAGAATTATTTAACTTTTTAAAAAAAGTTGTCATAATCAAACTTCTGGATATATGTATATAATTTAAAATATGAATGTGAACAAATTTAAATGATTATTTCACACATTTTTGGTAGAAATGATGTTATTACCCATTAAACTCTCTTAACAACAATATGATGTATATTGTAGGTTTTTGTCTCAATCTTTATTAACCAAGAATGGATATGGTAAATGCTAGAGGATTGCTGTCATCCATGCAAGGATAAGAATCATAGAGACCCCCCTGGAATTTCACAAACTAAGATAAATGAGGGGCTGAGGGTGTAGCTCAGTGGCAGAGCTCATGCTAAAAAATCATATAATAGGCCCTAGGTTCAATCATTGGTACCAAAAAAAAAAAACAAAACTGATATTTTAAAAAACCCTCAGGTAAGAAAATGTATATTGAGTTCCAGAAATAAAGTAAATCTTTTGATAGAATTCTGTTAAGTTCATTGTTTTATAGGAAACCATTAAGACAAAATATTTTATTTTAAAGGTGTGATTTTTAGTTCTTCACAGGCCTGAAAAATATTGAATTGTAAGGTAGTGATGTTTTAAGTCTGAGTATTCCATTTATAAAATCAGATTTAAACTATGAATTTTAAACTGAGATTGATTTTATTCAATTTATTTTTTTTAAAAGATGACATTTTCTGCCCTCAGTTCTATTAGTTTCTTTTTGTTAAAAGCAGTGTAATCTAACCTCAATTGTGATGAACTCTCTCACAAACTTAAAATATCTTGTATACTTTCACCTTTTTACAATAAACATGATAATATAAAACCATTTAATTTTCAAAATATTCCTCCTAGATTGGCCATTTGCTGGGCTGTTCCAGAGTGGTGGGAATTTGTGGAACACAAGAGAAATGCCTCATTTTGACCTCAGAACTGGGCTTTGATGCTGCAATTAATTATAAAAAAGGGAATGTGGCAGAACAACTCCGAGAATCATGCCCAGCTGGAGTGGACGTTTACTTTGATAATGTTGGTGGTGACATCAGCGATACAGTGATAAGTCAGGTTGTTTGCCAGTTTATGTTACAAAGTTGAATACTGCATTTTATTTGTTGTGATATTTTTTTATGTGATACTGAGGGGGAAAAAACTTCATAAAATTGTAGGGTTTACTGTAACAAATGTGATGATCCTTATTTAAGTGATATGAGAGTTTGCTGATATCTCCTTTCATATGCTAACAGATTTACTGTGATTCATCTGTTTCAGTTCTTGTCTAGCAGTATTATATTTTCACCTTAATTTTTGTGAAAAATTACAGTTGCATTTGTTAAATGAAATTGTGAAGTTCTAACCTCTAACTTGCCATTGACCAAGTCACAGTCATCCCCCTAACTTTGAGGAAATAGGTTTTCATAAATTGTGGGTATTTACGATTTTCTTTATTAAAAATGTTGTGAAGTATCAACATGAGCTATCAACAATGCATAGTCCATTATTTGCAGCTTAGGTTACATTATTTAAATGCAAAGAAATACAATACTGCTACTAATAAATGTAGTGACAATGACAACTAATATAATTCTTTTGCTGATTAAGAAATTTTGCCAAGATCATTGTAATGTCATGTGTAGCTAATAAAAAATAAAAAAATTTTCATTTGCCTTTATATTCCTTTGGGGTGAATTTGTTGCTAGCTAATTAAAACTTTTAAATACATATAATATGTAAATCTTCAAAGCAAACTAAATTGGCAGTAGAAGATTAAATATAGTGGTCAAGCAGGTTTTCATTTAGGCAAACGTAAAATCAATGAACAGGAAAGGTGTCTAAGGAGGTAACCATCAAAAATTTTTCTGTGCAGATGAATCAGAACAGCCACATCATCCTGTGCGGTCAAATTTCTCAGTACAATAAAGATGTGCCATATCCTCCTCCACTGCCCCCTGCGATAGAGGCAATCCAGAAGGAAAGAAACATCACAAGGTATGTCCTCTGTCTTTGCCTTATTACCAGATTCAGATTCAAGGGGGAATGTATATGAAATAAATTGTTATTCAATATAGTTTTTCCTTAATAAATAAAATTCATATATATATATATATATGTATATTTTTACATAAATGGAGTATAATTTCTCATTCTTCTGGTTGTGCATGATGTAGAATCTCTGGTCATGTAGTTATATATGTACATAGGTAATAATATCAAATACATTCTACTATCCTTCCTATACCCAAACCCCTCCCCTCCCTTCACTCCCTCTACCTAGTCCACCCTTTATTGGGAATTAGCATGTGCATATCAGAGAAAACATTCTGCCTTTGTTTTGGGGGGACTGGCTTATTTCACTTAGCATGATATTCTCCAGTTACATCCATTTACCAGGAAATGCCATAATTTTATTCTTCTTTAAGGCTGAATAATATTCCATTACATATGTATACCACATTTTCTTTATCCATTCATCTGTTGAAGGACACCTATGTTGGTTACATAGTTTAGCTATTAAGTGTTGAGCCACTATAAACATTGATGTGGCTTTATCAACGTAGTAGGCTGATTTTAAGTCCTTTGGGTATAAACTGAGGAGTGGGATAGGTAGGTCAAATGGTGGTTCCATACCAAGTTTTCTGAGGAATCTCCATACTGCTTTCCATAATGATTACACCAATTTCCAATCCCAGCAATGTATGAGTATGCCTTTTTCCCCATATCCTTGCCAACATTTATTGTTACTTGTATTCTTGATAGTTGCCATTCTGACTGGAGTGAGATGAAATCTTAGAGTAGTTTTGATTTTCATTTTTCTAATTGGTAGAGATATTGAACATTTTTTCATATATTTGTCAATTGATTGTATTTCTTCTTCTGTGAAGTGTCTGTTCAGTTTATTAGCCCATTTATTGATTGGGTTATTTGGTTTTTTTTGGAGTTTTTTGAATTCTTTACATATCCTTGAAATTAATGCTCTCTATTTTTAAGCTAGTTTAATATTTAGGTTTTGGTTAATTAGCTCCTTGAAAACTCATACTTACTGGATTTGACTGAGCTGGGTTAAGTCAAGAGAGGATGGGGAAAGGAAGATATCTACAAAGAAAAAAATCACAGAACTGTTGCTAAATGGAGTTGTAGATGCTGGGCAGACATAAACAGTAGAAGTTTAGTATACTTACATTTGTAAATACACCTAAAATTATGTCTGACCAAACTCAGTGTGATTAATTCCAATATTTTAAGGATTAACAGATTTACTAGAGTTCTGGAATGGTTTCATCTTGAACTCTCACTCCTGTCTTGTTCTCTGATCATTATCCTTTTCTTCTCCCCTACAGGGAAAGATTTATGGTGTTAAATTATAAGGATAAATTTGAGCCTGGCATTCTACAACTGAGTCAGTGGTTTAAAGAAGGAAAGCTAAAGGTAGTACTTCTATTTTTTATCATTATAATTCTTCCTGCTACTTGATATACTTTTGTATTACTTAAATTATATTATAGCAAATATTTTTTCCTTTATCTTGCATACCAAAAGCTGGGATTATGGCATGCACCACTGCACCTAACCTCAACCATGTTTGTTTCATTATAAAAAATTCCTACAAAAGAAATGTATACTAAATATTTTTACCTTGCTGATGATTGTAAACTCCTAACTGAAGAAACCCTCTTATTATTAACTTTATATAAAATTTACTGTTTCACTTTCTGTGGATTATATTACAAAATCAATAGTTTTCCCAAAATATAAATTAGTAATATTCAAAATATTTATGGAATTCTACCATGTATTGGAGACTCCTTTCCAAGAAAGTCATATAAGCACATCCCAGTGTCCTCACCTACTCTCCATGGATACTCTGATGTCTTTCTTAGTTGTTGGCTGAAAATCAGAAATTTTTAATTTGGGATTCAGAGATCCTGACCTTGTTCTCTTAATGTTCTTGAAATCCTCAAATAATTTATCTCAGCTACTTAGGAGGCTGAGGCAGGAGAACTGCAATCAAGGCCAGCCTCAGCAACTTAGCAAGACCATCTCAAAATAAAAAGGGCTTATCTCCATTATTACAAAATAATTTTTTAAAAGAATACTAAAACTACTATTTTAATTTACAGATCAAGGAGACTATGATAAATGGATTGGAAAACATGGGAGGTAAGAAGAATGTATTTACTTATTATATACATGTGCTCAGCAAAAATATTCTTTTTTCTTTTAATGCTACTTCTCAGGTGTCTCCTCCCCCTTTTCTTTTTTTCTTAATTTTTAGTTTTGCTAGGCTGAATCAATATTAACTGTGTTTTGGTTGTTTGTTTTCCTTCTCTTTCTTTTTTTTGACAAAGCTAGGGATCAGGGTCTTATGCCTGCTAGGCAAGTCCTATATCATTGACCAGATTTTTTTTTCTTTCTTTTTTACCGTATTGAGAATTGAACCCAGAGGCACTCTTATCACAGAGCCACATCCCCAGCTATTTTCATTTTTTTCTGTTGGGACAAGGTCTCACTAAGTTACCCAGGCTAGCCTCAAACTTGAGATCCTCCTGCTTTGGTCTCCAGAGTAGCTGGGATTATAGGCATATACCACTTTGCCTGTTTTTTTTTTTTTTCTTTTAATATTGGGGATTGAACTCAAGGGTACTTTCCCACAGAGCTATATCACCAACCCTTTTTATTTTTTATTTTGAGACAAGGTCTCACTAAATTGATGAGGATCTCACTAAGATGCTACGGCTGGCCTCTAACTTGTCATCTTACTGCATCAGCCTCCTGAGTCACTGGGATCACAGGTGTGCACCACCATACCTGTTGTTTTTTCTTTATTTATTTAAAATATTTCTTTTAGTTGTCAATGGACCTTTATTTATTTATATGTGGTACTGAGAATCAAATCCAGTGCCTCACACATAAGCACTCTACTACTGAGCCACAACCTCAGCCCCTCCTTTTTTAATCATTTATTTCTTCCCTGAAAAACCATACTTTAGGTTTTCATAAGTATTGTAATCAAGATCTATGTGAGTTCAATTTAGTGGTATTTAAGAGGTATTGTTATCACATCTCAAATAGTTTATAAAAAAATGTAAGGATTGTGAAAATTACTTAGGCTTTAGGTTACTTTTTCAGATTAGCTGCTTCTGGGGCAGTTTATATTAAGCAAATTGTCAATATTTAACTTTTGCCCACTATACATAGATTTAAGATATTCTCATTTAGGGCTGAGGCTACAGCTCAGTGGTAGAGCACCTGCCTTGCACATGCGAGGCACTGGGTTTGATCCTTAGCACCACATAAAAATACATAAACAACAACAACGACAAATTAAAAAAAAAAAAGATTCTGATTTGTTCATTTAACTGAAGGAAAACTGATGTTTTCCTTTTTCAGAAAAATTTTTTAATACATTTTGTTAATATATACTAAACATAAAACCCACTCATTTGGCATAAGAAATGTGTACTGTATTTATTTATTTAATAAAACTTTTTGATTACAATTCTAAACTTTTTGACAGTTATTTAAAAATTGTTTTTGCCTTTAATTAATTCCCATATTTATTTTCCACCAATCTTTAGACTCTATATACATTAAACATTGATGTAAACTCAGTTTAGGTATAATAACAGTTAGTTGGGCTAGTTTTTCTTTAACTTCTACCTGACCGTTCTTTTCATGACAGTTTCCTTCTGTGCTTAATATTACAATCCTGGAAGAAGTTATTCAAACTAATTTTATATTTCTGACCTCTTGATAAATAAGTTTCATGGTAACATTTATCTTTTCAGATAATCTATTTTTTTTTCTTTCCAGCTGCATTCCAGTCCATGATGACAGGGGGTAATATCGGAAAACAGATAGTTTGTATTTCAAAAGATATTTCTCTATAATTGTCATCTTCAAGAAAAATCACACATATTTCTTTCCACCTTACACAAAGATTTTTAAGATAAATTTTTTTAAAAAAAAAGTACAGGGGGCTGGGGTTGTAGTTCTGTGGTGGAGCACTTGCCTCACATGTGTGAAGCACTGGGTTCAATCCTGATCACCACATAAAAATAAAATAAAGGTATTGTAAAAAAAAAAGTACAGATAGCTCTTGATTTGAATGTGATCAGAAGAATATTTTCTTATGTAACTTAACTCTTTTCTATATCTTAATATCATGTGTGCACTCTACATCTAACATTACCTAAAACAATACTGAAATTAAAATGATCCATTTTTCTTTTGTTAAAACATGTATGACATGATTGTATCAGACATTCTGAAGCTACTGGAGATTTGATGCAACTGATAATGCATCAAATTTATAAATTTTTAAAAATTAATAATGTCTATTAATTTAAAATAGAATAAATATTCTATTTGATATGAGAGGCATGTAGTAAACATTTGTTGGACTGGAAAAAAAAAAAAAAACTTCACGTGATTCTTAAACTGAAACTTGGAATAAGAACAGAATTGGAATGGCCTTTCCATATGATAGGTGGAAACAGGACTTAATGGTATGATATGTATGTAAGGACTGCAGGGTAGGGTTGGTTGGGTGTGATTCAGAGCTTGTGGAACAGTTTTTGCAAAAGGAAAACAGAGGTTTGGGGTTGGGAGTGATATGAGAAAATAAATGACTGAAGTCAGTCGGTTTGAGAGACCCACAAGATTTAATCCAAAGGATTATCTATTAATGTTTTGCCAAATAATTGACTAGACTTCCTAAAAACCCAATTTATTTTATTTTTTTTTTTAGAGAGAGAATTTTAAAGTTTATTATTATTATTATTATTTTCAGCGAACACAACATCTTTGTTTGTATGTGGTGCTGAGGATCGAACCCGGGCCGCACGCATGCCAAGGCAGTGCGCTACCACTTGAGCCACATCCCCAGCCCTAAAAACTCAATTTATATATTGATAAAAGCATATGTTAATCTTAGTTTAGTGTGCACATATTGTCAAATAGTTGTCAAGATTAGAGAGCAAGTAGATATAAACTTACTGGGAATTTCAGATAACTAAACAAGGAGGTTTGGGGGTGTAACTGGGTAGCACAACTCTGCTTGACCTTGAGGTCAGTTCCCACCACAAGAACACCTAAAAAACCCAAAATCAAAACAAAGATGGCTTCAGAAAACAACAGGACTGACTGGGAAAATTAACCAATGGTTGTAATCATGAATGTTCAAAACCTACTGATGTACCTCTAAGTAAGTTTGATTTATTAATTGTATCCAACGCTTTGAAACAATAAAATTGAAGATGTTTTTCTGTGTGGTTTAAGGTAACCTGTTTTACACACTGCCAGTGTGTACACACACACACATTTAACTGGGAATTGAACCCTGGGTGCTTTACCATTGAGCTACATCCCCAGCCCTTTTTATTTTGTCTTGAGATGAGGTCTAAATTGCAGAGGCAGCTCTCCAACTTGGGTTCCACCTGCCTAAGCTTTATTGGGTAGCTGGGCTGCTGCCAATGTATTTTTGAACGTGAAATTAGTAAAAGTAGATTCAAATTGTGTTGGTAATCACTCACTCCAGTGAACTTCAGTAGCCTTCTCTTCTTTTATATATTTTTCCTCTACCATTTTCTTTTCTGAGGGGTTTTATCTCTTCTCTGTATGCTGAAAGCTCCCAAATCTACACTTCTTTTCCTGACTTCTTACTTGAGCTTTGGATCTTTACCTTCAAGTAAATATCCCGTTGGTACTTCAAACTCTGCTTATCCAAAAAGAGGAATTATATTTCCTTGGAACATTGTGTGCCTAAAGATATCATTCACCCACTTATATGTGCCTGGTTTATCTTTTACCTTGAAATGCCTTTTTAAAGAGAACTCCTTTATTTCCACAGTCACTATTTTAGTTGTTTTTTATTCTTCCGCAAGGCAGTGAATATTCAAAAAATTAGTAATCTTAAGAAGTCAAATCAAAGTTCTAATAAAGTGGTGACATCCAATCAGGACACCCAAGAGCGCTTTACATACTAAAAATATTTGGAACCCAGCCTCTAGGGAAATTAACAATTTCTAAAAAAATTCTACAGGAGACTCAATTCATACCCCGTCCCATATGCACAGCAGAACTTCATTCTACAAGTTCCCTTCTCGGGTGGTGAAGATTCAAGGTCCTCTTCACTGAGAGCTTTGGCAAATGCTTAAGGAGCAATCTTCTCGTTTCCCTCTATTGTAGATCCTTAGCTGGCGGGGGGAAGAACTCCTCCATAGCTGCGGGTTGGCAGTGACGTCATGGCTAGAATACACTGACCTGGTTTTAGGGCTTCGCGGATCTAGGAGCCCTGAAGGCCAGAGAGAATGGGAAACCGGGGGCTGGGCTTTCGCCGCTGGAAGCTTAGCCCTGTGCTGGGTGCCGGGTCAGCCTCATCTGCTGCCCTCGGAAGGGTGGCAGCAGCGCGGCTCCTAGCCAAACGGGTGGGCGTGTGTGCGCCGGGGGCGGGGAGCGGCCAAACTTCCTGTCCCGCGCTCGAGCTGCTTCCGGCGGGAGCCGGAAGATACTCAGTGTGGACGGAATTCAGGACCGATTGACTGCCGGCAACCTGTCCGGGACGGAAAGGTAAGCTTCGGCTTGGGACTGGCGGCACTCGCTTGGCTCGGTAGTCCCCGACGAGAGGGAGCCCTTACAGGCTCCTAGAGGCCTGGGGCCGAGTTCGCCCCTGGAGCGGACAGGGAAACTCTCCTCTCTGGACACCCCTCCCGGATCTGGCGATCCTAGAAGTGGACGGTCGGAAGCCCTGCGGCCTCGGCCCTTCCCCTCGCGGTTTGGGGGGTGATGTTTTGGGTTCTTTGCTTCCGTTTAGAGACAGGGGCATGGGAACAAGACAGTCCCGAGAAAACCGGAGTCAGCGAGTTCTTGGAGCGGGGGCTCCCGGACTGCACCCGCACCCGGGGCCTGCCCGCGGACCTTGGGGCCTTAGATTTAGGCCTTTGTGATGGGGGAAAGGTGTGCCAAGGGGATTCTACCCCGAATGTTTCTGTCCAGAGCTACCCTCTCCTTTCCTACGTCCACTTACTTTCTGTGTCTGATTAGGGTCGCCTGTGGACAGGAGGGGCTGGGCCTCCGGTTTCTCTTTCGTATGACAGTTCAGGCGGGCACGTAGGCTGGCTGTTGACTTACAGCGGTGTGCGTTTTGCCGGTTCAACTTATCCTCTGACATTTCTCAAGAGAATCTCAATAGTTTATTAAAGTTTATTCAACTTGCTCGTGAGGCTCTGAAAAGGACTTAGTTACCATTTGGAAGCTAAATATTATTAACTTGGGGATTAAGAATTCGTATATATGCCTCACTTTGCAACAGGGTCAACACAGCATATTTGCAAAGAGAATAAAAGAAATACTTTAAAATAAAGACAGCTTTTTTGGTGTTGTTTAGGCTGTGAGAAATTCCTCTTTGCATTATCTTAGTGTGAGGTAGAATAAAAGGCAACTAAACTTGCTGTCTGTCAGATTTGAGTTCTAGTTTAAGCTTTGCATTCAAGTAGATGTCAAATTTTGGGGTGGGGGTGGGGGTGAATTACTCGTCTCTAGTTTTGGCGGGGGTGGGGAGGTTATCTCTAAATGGAGAGATTTACCGTTAGAGTTTGACCATTATTTTGAGGCATACGACTGAGTAAGGGGGTTGACATAAGCATTTTTGTGTTTTGGAAGGATAACTGGATTGGTTGCATAAACATGGGTTGGAAAGGGGAATTTTAAAGGCCAGGTGACCAGGTAGAAGCCTATTTAATAGTGTAGTTGAAAGAGACTAGAGACCTAAATAAGGTATTGCAGTAGGAATAAATTTGGGGGACTCAGAATTACTGGGATTATTTAAATATAGAGAATGTGAGATTATTATTAAAGATCTAGAATTTGCAGCTGAGTGGGAAGAAAATTGGGCAATAATTGAAATAGATAATAACAGGAAGAACAAGTTTAGGGGAGATGATAATCTGGATTTTGTACATTGTTAGGTTTGAGATGCTGTTGGAATTATATATAGAAATACCCAGCAAGCAGTTAGAAATGAAGATTTGGAGTTCAAAAGAAAGGTCATTCATTCATATACAAATATTTATTCAGTACTTACTATCTGCTTATAGGAATGCTTGTATGGAATCCTTTTAAACTCATAGTAAAGACAATTTGAAAATGGGAAGTGACTTCAGGGTATCTTGATCAAAATGTAAATTTGTGGTATGGTTATACAACTGTGAATATACTAAAGACAAAGACAGTCTAATAGTACTCTTTAAAATGGGTGAGTTGTGTATTCTGTGAACTCTCAGTGAAACTTATTTTCTTAAAAGATTTGCATTACAGTTTTTGAAATTTGTTAAATGGGTATTGGAATTGGGAATAGAAACAAATGTAATTGCATATTTGTCACTATACTACCAGCTAATATACTTGGTAAGTTCTGTGTTAAAGAAGAGGTTAACTTAGTACACCTGATAAGGTACTCTTGTAGTGATTATTTTGAATCCAGCTTACCTATTCTAGTGCCTTCTTTTCTCTATTTTATCATACAGTACACATACAAACTATAAACTTGGCCATCAAAATTGTGGGGTAGTACTCAGTTATGATATGGATATCCAGTTGTTTCAGGAAATGTTTTTGTTAATTTTTAAGTTTTATTATTAGATTAAAAACACTAAAAAATATCATTGTTAACATATAAAAGTTAGTAAATAGTTGTATGGTTTCTTGGAGATTTTACAATCATGGAATCTCAAAGTTGGAGGAACTTTAAGGATAACCTAAACAAATATCTGGTAATTTCTTGGCTTGTTGAGAGTGAGCTGGAATTTCGGTAAAGGAGTTCTTTGGCCTTACAAATTAGAGAGATATAATCACTATTCATTCAACTATTTATGCCAACCTGCTCTGTGGGTAGGAGTCCTGGCTTTGCAGCTTAATAACTTGGGCAAGTGATTTATTGAGCCTTAATTCCTTTCTTTCTAAAAAGATGAATGGATAAATTATTATGTTGTTGTAATGCTTGAGTGAGAAAAAAGTGGATAGAAAAGTCAGGGATTTATAATACTTCAGGTGAAAAACTTAAAAGGATTGTTTTTAGTATATCTTGTAAATTGTTATTTCTTTACAATGAAAAATGAGAATCTCAGACAGCTGGAAAGAGGGAGAAGAAACCAACAAACAATAAATATTTATTCCATTACTTCTAAATGCCCTTTTTGTAAAGTCTGTCTTATTGTAACTATCTAGCCAACCCTGGTATTAAAAGAAAACTTCATCCTAGGTACATTTTATATGTATGATTACACAGTGTTCCCAATTTTGGCAACAAATAAAGGACTCACATGACAGATTCCTAGGGGAAAAATTAAGCTGTAAGAAAGTAAGAATTTTGGGCTGGGGGAGTAACTCAGTGGTTGATTGTGTGCGTAGTATACACAAGGCCTTGGGATTTAATCCCTAGCCCAAAAATGAAAGAAAAGTTGGGGGTGGGGGGAAAAAAAGAAAGAAAGAATTTAAATTACAGGGAGAAAACAGCTGCATCAGGGTCCCAAGAACACTACATCTGGGAAACACTATTCAAATTTTGTCATTTTTTTTCCCTATGCAGTACTGTAGATTGATCCCAGGGCTTCATGAATGCTAGGTAAGTGCTCTACTTCTGAGCTTCACCTCCACTTTTGACTATTTTTTAATGTATTTTAAAAAATTATCAATACAATATAGTTACATTTTAGAAAACTTGGAAAATCAAGAAAAGAAAAATAAGTCACACCAACCTACCATACAATATTAACTACTATCATAGCTGTGTGAATTTCCTTTGACTTTGTTCTGTGCCTATCATAACTAGTTTTAAAAATGCAAATATAATCATTTTATTTTTATAGTTTATTTTTTAAAAATATTTTTTAGTTGTTGATGGATCTTTATTTATTATTTTATATGTGGTGCTGAGAATTGAACCCAGTGCCTCACACATGCTAGGCCAGCGCTCTACCACTGAGCCACACCTCAGCCCTATTTTTATAATTTAATGTAATAATTTTTCTTTGTTGCTGCAGTGTCTTCATAACCTTATTTTGAAGTGATGGTGCCATACTTAATCAACAATTCCTTAATTGTTGGATATATATGTGTGTTTACATGTTGCTTCCAGTTTGTCACATATTTGTGAACATCTTTGAGTTTTTTCCTCTTTTTTCCCCCTGTACTGGAGATTGAACCTGGGAATGCATCACTACTAAACTATACTCCCGGCTCTAGCTTTTTCTGTAGTTAAGTTCTTTCCTTAGAATTGATTTTAGAAGTAGAAACATAAAACATCATTTTGGGTTTTGACACCTAATTCACTTGTTCTATTTTAAAACAAGGGATTGGAGCTGAATTCTTTGTTTGTTATGATTTTTGGATATTTTACTTATTTAGCTGTATTTTCTCACTGTTCTTAATGCTGTCTCTCTCTTTTTTATCCCTATTTTAGGATAAATTGATTACCAACTTAGTTCAGCATCTTACAGAAAGAGCATAGTGTTTCCTAAAGGAACATGAGCATAACGGGAAGGTGTCATTGACTCTGAATTAATTTTGAACCTGTTCCCTAAACAGCTACAGGATTTTGGAAGCTGAATCAATGTTATCAGATGAGTTAGAATCCAAACCAGAGGTGAGCCTACTCAGCTTGTTTCCTTTTCTTTTGGTGGGTTGTATTTCAGAGTTTATCATTATTAGTTCAGGGATCAGTAAACTTTTTCTATAAAGACCCGATAGTAAATATTAAATATTTTAGGTTTTGTGAACCCAAATGGATTTGATTGTAAGTATTAATTTATTATTTTTTATAATAATTAATAATATATATTATTAAGTATTTTCTCAAAATTTTTTTGTCTTTTGTGATTTTTTTTTTTGATCGTTGTTTATGGAAGTGTAAAATTATTTGGATACTTATATAATGACAAAATATTTTATATATAAATATATGGCTAGAGTATGCCATGTAACATAAGTAATGTGTTTGTGTATATGTATATAAATATTTTCTACCACAAACCATTCTTGTATTAATTTTGTATATATCAGAAAATATTTTATTTCTGAACACATTGGGTATCTTTTTCTTTGGTTTGTGTGTATGTGTGGTACTTGGTCTTAAACTGACAGCCTCACACATGCTAGGCAAGTGCTCTACCACTGAGCCACATTGTTAGCTCTAAATTTTCCAGGCTGGCCTCTAATTTTTAATATTCCTGCCTCAGCTGGGATTACAGAAATGCATCACCATGTCTGGCTAAGCATTATATTTTTAATAAATATATTTAATAAAAACAAGCATTTTATTTTCATTCATTTTTCTCACTTTAATTTTAGTGAATCTGATTACTTAAGTTCGAAGATTGGCACTGCTAGCTAGTCATGTGATCTTAGATAAGACACTAATGTCCTCATCTTGATTCTTCTTTGTAAAATACATATTCAGTCCTAGCCAATTTAATGTGAAGGTTAAATGTACATAGAAAAATGCTTTGTAAGATGTAATCAGTGTAGTGTGGTTGATTTTTTTTTTTTAAGTAGTCCTTCATTTAAAAATTATTTTTATATTTTCTATTTGGAAAGTGATGGGGTTGGTTTAGTTATATAAATAAACTAGAACAATGAACATTGATGAAATAACAATCTAGTTTTTCTTTGAATTCTAAACCTAGTGCAGTCAAGACTTCATCATTACCTTTTCATAAACTCAGAGGTTTAGATCCATTCCTAATAACCTCTGTATCTTAGTGTTGCCTTTTTTCCCCCCTCAGCTCCTGGTACAGTTTGTTCAGAATACCTCCATCCCATTGGGACAGGGACTAGTAGAATCAGAAGCTAAAGACATTACTTGCTTATCCCTACTTCCGGTGACCGAGGCCTCAGAATGCAGTCGGCTAATGTTATCAGGTAAAAACAAAGATCACCAGAGATAGGATAAAGAAGTCCCAAGACCTTAGCTTACTCTATGGTACCTGATGGAATGGATAACTGACTTTACAATTGACTGGTCATAGAGAAAAAGTAACCATGAAAGTCATAAGTGTATCAGTTGTTTAAGCCACAGGAATGGCTGCTATCATGATTCAGTGTGACAGTGGGGGGGGGGTGGGGAAGGTCAAGGCAGAACTCTGGAACTCCCTGTTGAAGGAATAGGATAAGACAAAAGAATCTGAACAGGTGGTAAGGGGTATAAAGTAGGATATTGAAGTAGGATGAATATCAATATAGAACGGAAGTGTGGAACACAAGGGAAGTCAATATAAAATGCTCTTAAGTGGCCCAGAGAAGATAGTCTAAAAAGAATCCATCACTGAACTTGGTTGTCCACAGAGTGAAGTGGGTAGAAAACCAATGGCTATAGATTGAGGTATCAATGCAAAGTAAGTCCAGCATAACTGGGGAAGTAACTAGTGGTATTTTCTCAAGACTGTTCTGCTACGAGAAGGAAAAAGGTAAGGTAGGTGGAAATTAGGGGTTTTGTTTGTTTGTTTTTGTTTTTAGATCTGAGATATTTGGGGGTTGTTTTATGCTGAAAAAAAAAGAGCCAGTTAGAGAAACTGAGACAGAAAGAAATAGTAGGATGTTGGTGAGGATGCTTCAGGAGAAGTAAGAGGAAATAGAATGCTGAGCACAGGCAGGGAGATAAGGTTTGGATGGGAGTCAATTGATTATTGGCAAGGAGAATATTATTTTTGGATGTAGTAAATTCCTTATACTCTGATCTTTATTTTAAAATTTGGAGTGTTAGTATTTTATCAGGGGGAGTAAACATTAGCTTGTTTGACAACTTAAGTAGTTTGTTAAAAACTCTTCTAGTTAATGTCCTTTGGTGGTATTCTTCGATTTTTTTTTCCCCTTGCAAAATTAGGGATTGGACACAGTCTACCAGTGAACTTCATTCCCTTTTTTTCTAGATAGAATGGCTCTAATTTGCTAAGGTTGGCCTTGAGCTTGGGATCCTCCTGCCTCAGCCTCTTTTGAGTCCATGAAATTACAGGAGTGTGCCATTGCCTGGCTCCTACTTAGGCTTTTCCCCTATAAAGATAACAACATTCTTTTGTAAGAATGCCAGTGTCCTCACTTTTGTGATAATCATTTCTTTGTTTTCCAAATTTACCCACCTATTTATATATCTCTAAGCAATGTGGTATAATCTTAATTGGTTTTGGACCTTAAGTGAATGGAATCATATGATCTGTATGTTTTTGTACCTTCCTTCCTTTACTTTATATTTGTGAAGTTTATCCTTATTGTGTGTAGCTATGGTTTGTTTAGTTACATTGCTGTATGGTATATATAAAGTATACCACAACTCCTTATCCATGCCACTTGTTGATGAATATTTATTACTTAATGTTGTAATATGACAAACAGAACTACTATAAACTTTTAAGATTTTTATCTTTGTGTGTAAGTACATTCATGTTATTGTGCCAAAGCCTAATGAAAATGGACATATTGTCCACTTTTTTTTAAAATAACTTTAATTAATTAATTAATTAATTTTTATGTGGTGCTGAGGATCGAACCCAGGGCCATGCACATGCAAGGTGAGCTCTCTACCACTGAGCCATAATCCCAGCCCCCATATTGTTACTTTTATTTTTGTTTTGTTTCATTTTGTTGGTACTAGGGATTGAACCTAGGTACATTGAACCACTTCCCAGCCCTTTCTATTTTTTATTTTGAGACAGGGTCTTTCTAAGTTGCTGAGGACCTCACTAAGTTGCTGAGGCAGGCCTCAAACTCGTGATCCTCCTTCCTCAGCCTCTCATGTTGCTGGGATTTTGGCATGTACCCAATTTATTTCTATAATATTGTTACCTACTTAAAAGAGGAAGAAGTGATACATGCCTTTTTAAAAAATGTTAAAACCTCTGAAAATATTGGATACTTCAGTGTTGAAGTGCAGTTTCCTCATTATATTGCAACCAAAACCTTTGGAAATTCTTTTTTATCACTTAGAACAAAGTGTCATGTATGTGTGTTCCCCAACCCCACCTCCTCGGTACTGCAAATTGAACCCAGGCCTTGCATATGTTAGGCAAGTGCTCTATAAATGAACTTATACCCCAGCCCTTTTTAAAATTTTGAGATAAGATCTCTCTAAGTTGCTCAGTCTGGCCTTGAACTTGCAATCCTCCCACCTCAGCCTCCTGAGTAACTGGGATTATAGGTGGGTGCCACTGTATCCAGATAGAATGAAGTTCTTGAGGTCAAATCTGAATTTTTTTAAAAAAAATTTCTCTTAGAGGTATTCGGAATTGAACCCAGGGCATTGTGCATGCTAGGCGATCACTACTGCTAAGTTACATCCCCAGCCCTGAATTATTTCTTTACATTCAGTATAAACCCAGAATTATATAATGAAACATTTTAATAAATTTGTGAGATTTCTTTTGATTCCAAGGCTGTTTTTCCCCCTTCCACCAGAACTGTCGTGTACATGTTATAAAAGTGAACTAAAAAGTTAAACTTTTAAGAAAAAGGTTTAAAATTTAGATCCTCCCGTAACATTCATAATGTAGCTTTTTTTTTTTTTTTAAGGAAAAAGTTCTGATTTCTGACTTCAAAAAGGACTAAGTTCTGTAATGTCCAAATGCAGATTATTGGCTATTAGCTATGTCAGGTGTCAAAAGAAATCTGTTTTTCACATTTTGTCTGATTACCTTTAAAGCCATCTCTGTTTTTCTCTGAGGCAAGTTTTGTATTTGTAAAATGAGAACACTGTTTTTATAGGGTGCTAGATACTAAGAGATGTTACATAGGTATTAGACACTGTTTCAAAATGATGATCTCCTTGGAGGTAATGCTGTGTTTTCCCTTTACTAGATGATGCTCCAAATCATACTAACTCCTCCAAGGAGGTCCCTTCATCAGCTGTACTGAGAAGCCTTCAGGTGAATGTGGGCCCAGACGGAGAGGAGACGAGGGCTCAGACTGTACAGAAGTCCCCAGAGTTTTTGTCTACTCCAGAGTCTCCTAGTTTGTTGCAAGATCTACAGCCAAGTGATAGCACTTCTTTTATTCTTCTTAACCTAACAAGAGCAGGTATTCTTTATCCTTTTCTGAACTTTTCTCATGCTTATGAAAAAATTGGAGTTGGGACATATTTCACTAGAAGCTTTATTATTTTTCAGAAATTTCATAGTCTGGTGACAAAATGAACATGTAGAACAAGAGAGAGGATTCTAGGATGATTTAAACATATCTCGTTTGGGAAATTAGATGGTGCCATTTACTGATACAGTTGAGCATAGGAAGAACAGGGTGTGGGGTAGGATGATAAGTTCCAATTTATGTCTGTTGAAGTTGAGATTTTTTTTTTTTTTTAAAGAGAGAGAGATAATTTTTTTAATATTTATTTTTCAGTTTTTGGTGGACACAACATCTTTATTTTATGTGGTGCTGATGATCGAACCCAGCGCCCCATGCATGCCAGGCAAGCTCGTTACCGCTTGAGCCACATCCCCAGCCCGAAGTTGAGATTTTTAAAAAAAATTTTTTTAGTTGTAGATGGACACGATACCTTTATTTTATTTATTTTTATGTGGTGCTGAAGATTGAACCCAGTGCCTCACACTTGCTAGGCAGTGTTCTACCACTGAGCTACAACTCCAGACCCTGAAGTTGAGATTTTGAAGGAACATTTAGGAGGAAGTTTTCTTCAGAAAGTTAGACACAGGAATCCAGAGTTCTAGAGAGGTCTCATATGAAATAATTAGTTTAGGTGTTGATTAGCATTCAGGAAATGTATGAAACAATTTTCTCTTTGATTCAAGAGAAGATTGATGCATGAACAGAAATAAAAGGCAAGCCTGGAACCTTGTGAGGGAAAAGCCCACACATTTAAGAGGGCAACAAGAAGAACTTGAAAGAACAGCTGGAAGGGGATGAAGAGAACTGAGAGTGGGTGGGAAACCAAGGTAGGGAAGTTTCAAGGGAGAAAAGTACTAAATCATTCCAAAATACTATAGGATGGGCTAGTGAGATGAAGTATATATCTGAATATTTTAGCAAGAGCAGTTGTTATTGGGGTAGTGTGGGTATAGAGGACAGAATTAAAGAGATGGGGAGTAGATGGAAGGTGAGAAAGTGGATGCACAAGTTAGAGGGTACACTTGTTCACAAAACTTGACTTTGAAGAAACAGGTAATAACTAGAAAAGCACTTAAGGATTTCTATTATTTTAAAGAATAAAGATGGGAGAAACTTGAGTTAGAACACATTTAAAGGCTAGAAGGAAAAGCTGTCCAGTAGAGAGGAATAGGGTGGAAATGGGAGAGAACAAAAATGGAAGGATACAGAAAAGGATGACTGAAGAGTGGGGTTGGAATATTAGAGGTGGGGGTTAGCCTGGTTGCCAGGAAGAACAGTTTTGCCTCTGAAACAGAAGGAGGCAAGGTAACAATAAGCCTGTGGCCTGAGAGTAGGAAAGTGATAGCCTAATCATCTGTGAGCATAGAAGCTTAAGGTAAGAAGCAAAGACCTCCAATAGCTGGTTCAGGATACAGAGTTTCTGGGCCAGGGCAAACAGAAGGATTACTTGTTGACTAACCTTCATATGTCCTTTTGTTCTCCAGGTCTGGGCTCTTCAGCTGAGCACTTAGTGTTTGTACAAGATGAGGCAGAGGATTCAGGGAATGATTTCCTCTCCAGTGAGAGCACGGACAGTAGCATTCCATGGTTCCTCCGGGTTCAGGAGTTGGCCCATGACAGTTTGATTGCTGCTACTCGTGCACAACTAGCAAAGAGTGCAAAAACCAGCAGCAATGGTGAGACTCCCATGGCATTTTCTTCACCATTATTCTATGCAAAGAGATTGTGGTAATGTAAGGGCTATATTTTGAGTTGTATATAATCCAAGTTATTTTATTAATGAGAATGGAAGGCTAGAAATGTATAAATTGTTTGTCTTATTTTCTGTGAGATAACTTGGCCATGCCAGATTTGTGTGCAGAATCGACTAAACTAGTATTTTTAATTCTCTACTTCAGATAATATACAGATCAATTTTTCTTAAACCCATACCACCACCACCACCACCCAGCCTAGGCTCAGGAGTAGTAAAGTCACTTGCCCTCAACCCTGGTGAGGCTGGGGTTTCAGCTCAGCAACTCCTTCCTTATTTCCTTGCACAGTGCCCTATGCTACTCCTATCCAGACCCTGCATCCTTCAGTCCCCACTTAGGCCATTGCACAATTCTAGAGTTGCTGGTGTGTGGGCTGGGGTGCATAGGGAGTCTGCAGACAGCTCCAGGGGCCTAGCAATCTGAAGCAGGAGAGCGGGCAAAGCAGATGGAAGTTAGTGTGGGAACTTGAAACCTTAGTCACCTGCTAGGTTGATCTCACAGAACAGCCGGGCAGTTAAGGCAGTACGTATCCCTGGGGTGAGCAACTTTAGGGGAGGGGAGTTAATGCCCCATCTCTGGGCCTTGACAGGGTCATGGGCTTCCCTCATTATAGACCAGCAGGTGCAAGTTAGGGCCCTTCTGCTGGGCTTTGGGGGGCTGATGTCTGGACTCAAGCCCAGAGCCTGTCTAGTAGAACTCATTAAATAAAAGTAGTGCCCTGGGGCTGTGGAGACCTTAGAACCTACAGGAAAGGTAGTATGGAAGCTTTGAGGAGTTGTGACCTGTGTTCTCTGAGCAAGGGAGAAACTGGACAGGGAATGTGTTGGAGCCCTAATGTTACGTGATGGGTTACTGAAGAACAGTGATCTTGGGAGCCAGATTCCTGGGTCCCACACAGAGCTGGAGGTAGATAGTAACATCCATATGTCAAGAGTTTCAAGGCCTAAAACATCAGGGGTCTGGAGAGAGCTGACAAGTAGATGCTGCTCAGACACTGAAGGAGGGGCAGATATGCCTCCTTCCCAGATGGGGCCCAGTGCTGGAGAGGGGAAGGAAGGGGACTCAGCTTGGAGGCTTTGGGAACAACTTTTCTGAGGCTTTTTTTTTTTTTTTCCTCTGAGGCTTCATAGTCTTGTCTCCCAACTCTTGCCAAGAGCCAGGAGGTTTGTGAACCTATGGCTGAACCTATAGTTCCCAGACAATATATTTCTGCCTTCCTGGCTTAGTGACATTTTTCTAGGAAGTCTTGAGTCCACTTAAGACTCCTTTCTTCCCTCTTACCTCTGGAATCTTGAGGACTCTGTTGCCCCTTTGTCTTTGTTGCAAACTCTTCCATCAGAGCCTCTTTCTGTGGTATGCTTGCTTGTTTTGCTCTTAAAAGAGGCCAGATGTCAGATGAAACTTCAGGCCACTCAGGCTGGGACAGGACCTTGGGGATATCATATAGCTTCCTTGCCTCCATACAGTTTCCATTCCCATTAGCAAAAAAGTTCTGTATTTCAAAAACTATTTCCCTGGGCAGGCTGTCAGCAGACCACCAAATTTTTTCTCCTCAATACTAGGAATTGAACCTAGGGCCTTGTGCACGCTAGGCAAAGCACTTCACCACTGAGCTACACCCTCAGCACTAAGAGAACACATTTTAAAGGGGGGGGGAAATACTGAATTTATATTCAATTGCTTTTATTATAATGTTTTTAGATATGTAAAAACAAAAGTTCTGTGTAAGCTTTTAGAGCTCTTATACCACCGTGAAATCAAAAGTTTCATCTATTAACAAAACTATAAAACCAATAAAACAAGATTAATATTAAGTCAGTGTGGCAGATGATGATGTTTTATTAAAACTAATTGGCTGCTCATGGCAATTTTACAATTAGCTATGATGGATTTCATGCTTTTTTTTTAAGTTAGGCATGCCTGCAATTTGTGCTATTTTCTCCAGTAATTTTCAAAACATTGACCCTTGATCATTGGCATTACCTGGCAACTTAAAAATACAAACTCTCAGGCCCCATTCCAGGCCTACTAAATCAGAAACTTGGTTCTGATGCATGTTAAAGCTTGAGAACCATGGATATATTCAAACCACTACCAAAAGGCATAAAATCTTTGCTTATGTAACATGCCATTAATCTTTTTGTTTTAGGTCTGACTCTGTTTTTTCTCATAAACCTGTGACAGATATTAGGACGACATGATTCAGCATTCTCATTATCACAAACCAAGCTTTAGCACTGAAATCTTTTGTGTGTGTGTGTATGTGTGTGTGTGTGTGTGTGTGTGTTAGTAGGAATTAAACTCAGAGGTTTATACCTGGCCCTTTTTATTTTTTATTTTGAAACAGTCTCACTAAGTTGTCAAGGCTGACCTAGAATTTCTGATCCTCTTGCCTCAGCTTCCCAAGTGGCTGGGATTACAGGTGTGCACCATCCTCCCAGCTTCCAACTGTGTCTTGAAGATGATGAAATAAAAGGAATAATGTCTACTAATGTGGAATTTATACAAGTTTTTAATAAACTATTTTCATTTAAAACAAATCAAGGCACATTTTACCACTCACCTCCTTTTATTCTATTAAACATTATGCCAGTAGATATTATCTCTAACTTTTTTCAGTACCAGGGATGCTTAACCACTAAGCCACATCCCCAGCCTGTTTTTATATTTTATTTAGAGATGGAGTCTCAATAAGTTGTTGAGACTGGCTTTGAACTCATGATCCTCCTTGCCTCAGCCCCCTGAGTTGCTGGGATTATAGATGTGCACCACTGTCCCTGGCTATTACCCAGCCCAGAACTTTTAAGCTTTTTCTATAGCATCCCACTTTGGGTATTGATCTCCTTGTTTCCCCACCAATGTATATAATAAAAAAGAGGTTTAATTCTACATTTTTAGATTTCTGATGGGAAACCATTTTGGATATTTTCTACATTTGTCAAAGAGGCCCTGTTTTGTGAAACAAAACATGATAGCTGTCAGTAGTTCTCTGGAATAAGGGGAAGAGGATGTAGAACACCCTCATTTCTGTTCTGAAACAGGTACAGAGGAAGTGGAGAAGATGAAGATAGATATCCGATTAATTATCATTAGAAGCTTGGTGTAATGGGGCATGCCTGTAATTCCAGTGAGTCCACAGGCAGGAGGATCGCAAGTTTGAGGCCAGCCTTAGCAACTTAGCAAGGCCCTAAGCGACTTAGCAAGACCCCATCTCAAAATAAAAAAAGTAAAGAGCTGGGAATATGGCTATGGCTCAGTTGTTAAGCATCCCTGGGTTCAATCTCTAGTACCCACCCAAAAAAAAAAAAAATCACTAGGAGTTAAATATATGAGTTCTATTATTTGAACCTCAGTATTGGAGCAGCGTCCTTCCCTGGGTTGTAAATACATGATTCTGTTACAGGAGAAAATGTCCACCTTGGTTCTGGTGATGGACAACCCAAAGATTCTGGACCACTTCCCCAAGTGGAAAAGAAGCTCAAGTGTACAGTTGAAGGTTGTGACCGGACATTTGTGTGGCCAGCTCACTTCAAGTACCACCTCAAAACTCATCGGTGAGCAATTCTGAGATCTCATATTTGGAGCTTAAGAACACTGATGCTTTTAGAGCAACTTGTTCCCTGAATTAATAAATTAAAGGAATTGACAAATTGAAGCAGGGACTCCAGCTAACTTATATATACACACAATATGTATATACATATATATTTTAAGTTGTAGATGGACCCAATACCTTTATTTTGTTTATTTATTTTTATGTGGTGCTGAGGATCAAACCCAGTGCCTCACACACATGAGGCAAGTGCTCTACTGATGAGCCACAAACCCAGCCCCTTGTTTTTTTTAAAGAAAGATTTGCATTGTTTAATTTACCTTTTTCCTAATAAATATGTAAAGAAGATTGTTACCTGAATATCTTAAAAGTATGAATTCTCAAATCTCATTATAAAACATAGTTTGAGAATTTAAAATATAATACGTAAATCTCAGCTCCTGCCCTAAACTTAGGAAATTAGTATTGGGAGGAAGTTGGGCATCTGTAATTTTAACAATCTCTTCAGGTTAAGTCTGAAATATTCAGGTTTGGAGTTTAATGTCTGCCTTGAGAGTCAATAGAAATTTTGACTTGTCATCTCTAGTAAAGAGTATTTCCAGGTGTTGTTGTTTATATAATTAATTTTGCAGAAATGACCGCTCCTTCATCTGCCCTGCAGAAGGTTGTGGGAAAAGCTTCTATGTGCTGCAGAGGCTAAAGGTGCACATGAGGACCCACAATGGGGAAAAGCCTTTTATGTGCCCTGAATCCAGCTGTGGTAAACAGTTCACTACAGCTGGAAACCTGAAGAACCACCGGCGCATCCACACAGGTGTGTGCAACCCTGGGCTGAGCACTTGCTTGCCTATCCTCAGGAAAGACTCAAGTGGGAATAGAAGTGAAGGGGTAGAATTATTGCTAGAACTCTGAAGATGTGATTTCTTTTTTCAAATGCCTTGCAGTACTTTCTAATTCATACAGTGACTTATCAAAGTTTATCTGTATGTGAGGAGTAGATAGTATTGATTTCTGCCTCTAGGAACCTAATGGTAGGAAGAGATATAAGACCTTCTCAGGAACACTGTGAGGAGATATGGACAAAAATCAGTCTGTTTCAGATTTTTCTGAACACTGCACCTCTTGTATTTTGGACAGTAACATTGAGTGGCACAAACCCATGTAGAACACTAAATAGGGCAAAGTGGAGAAAAATACAAAAGATGTAATCCGCGACTTCTAAGGAGTTTACTTTCTTGAGAGAACCTCACATCATGGGAAATAGAATGGAAAGTAACTTGTTCCAGGTCAAACAGCATGTTGGTGTCAAGAGAGCAAAATAAAGATTCCTTGATTCTTAGTCTAAGAATCTAAGGGTGATTTTCCAAGCCACATGATTTTTTCAAGCATGTGCTAGTCTGTTGCCAAAACATAAGCACTGAACCCAGATGACCATCTGAGGAAGTATAATTGTTCTCTGCTTTTTTGCCACTTTGTTTGTTTGTTTATTCTTGCATTCTTGAAGTGATAGCAGGTTCAATTAAAGGTGAAGTGTGAGCTGAAGCCGCAATTTTTCTAGGCATGAGTCTCTAGATTGATATAACCTCTGAATCTATTTTGGGAAGAATAGTTCTCTTTTCAGCTTTTTTGAGAAAGTTAACTATACTTGCTCCAAGAAAGTAATTTTTAAAAATTTTTGTAGATGTAGATGGACAGCATGCCTTTATTTTACTTATTTTTTGTATGTGGTGCTAAGGATTGAACCTAGTGCCTCACACATGCTAGGCAAATGCTCTGCCACTGAGCCCCAACCCCAGCCCCAAGAAAGCAATTTTAATAAAAGAATAAGAAAACCATTCAGCTGAGTAGCTAAGAAGTGAATTACTAGCCCGCATTGTTAAATTCAGAAACTTCATCCTCTTGCTGCTCATCATCTTTGTAACATGAGATAACACTGAACATCTTCAAACATTTTTTTACATTAAAGTATGACCTTATTTCACCTATGTTTTTTTCCCCTTCATTATAACTTTTGCTAGCCTTCTTCTCTGTTAATGTCTTTATTGCTCACCAATTTCAGAATTTCAGTTTTCTTTCATTTTTCTCATTGTACTCTCATAATCTCAAACCTCAATTGAATAATTTGCCGTTCAGATCTGAGTCTTAATAATAGTTAATATAGTAATACAAGCTTTTATTGAGGCACTTTAATATGTACCAACCATATGCACATTAATTCCTTTAATTTTCAATATAACATTAAATAATATATTTATTGATAAAGAAACAGAAGATTAGAGAGTTAAATAAATTGCTCAACATCTTATAGGTAGGAAATGGCAGAGTTGGATTTTAAATTATGATATGGCTCCAAAGCTCTTCCAAGGATTTTATTTTCAAATCCTGACAACTCGGCCTTTGAGATAATTTTTTAGCAATAATGTTAATACTTAAAGCTGCTGAATTTAGTGTGTGCCAAGAGCTATGCTGAGTTGTTAAACTCATGTTATCTCATTTAACCCTCAGAATAATCTTTTGAAGTTGTATTATCTTCATATAATAAGATCAAAAGCCAGTTTAAGTGGTAATATTAGGATTTGAATTTAGGATTAGCTGATTGCAAAGCCCATGTTCTTTCTTAACCATTATGCTGAATTGCCTCTTGAACCTCCTCTTCACTCTTCCATGTCTTTTATCTCAGTAAAATCACGGCCCTCTCAGTTTCCAAATAGGTAGGTTGTGTCCCCTAGGTTAGCTTGATGAAGAGATTCCTTACCTCTATATTCTGAGGTAGAATCCTTCTAAATCCTCATATTTCTGTAGTTCATCTTGTTAAACATTTGACCTTATTATTAAAATTTTCTGTTTTCATGACCTTTGTCAAAGGTATTAGCATATTGTTCCTTCATTGAGCATCTTTTTGAGCATCTATCTTTCTGGGGTGGGTACTACTATACAGATAGCATTCAAAAAAAATATAGGTAGTTGGATATGGTGGTGAAAGCCTATAATGCCTACTGTTCAGGTGGCTGAGGCAGGAGGATCTCAAGTTCAAGGCCAGCCTGAACTAACTTAGCAAGACTCTTGTCTCAAAAATTAAAAAGGACTGTGGGTATAACTCAGTGGTAGAGCACATGCTTAGCACCCCCCCCCCAAAAAAAAAGTTAGAGACTACTCCAGTTCCCAAATTAACTGTGTGGTATTGTCTAAAAGAACACTACAACCAAGAGCACTGCTACCCACTCCTGCTCCTCCTGCTAGGATTAGCTGATTGCAAAGGATAAGAACACAAACTTTGCAACCTAGCGCATGTGTTGTTACCATACCAGCTTCACTTGATGGATTTTGAACTTATCTCAGGCACTCTCAGTTTCAAGGCACTCTTCACACTATTTCTTGTACCTGAAATTCCTTTCCATCCTTCTTAGCTTATAAGACCAGCTGAAATTCATTATCTTTCAAAAAATTTTTGCAATTAGAATTCCTTCCCTTCTCAGCTGGGCACAATGGCACATGCCTGTAATCCCAGTGGCTCAGGAAGTTGAGGCAGGAGGATCACAAGTTTAAAGTCAGCCTGAGCAATTTAGAGATGCCCTAAGCAACTTGGTGAGATCCTGTCTCAACATAAAAAAGGGCTGGGGTTGCAGTCCATTGGCATAGCACCACTGGCTGGGTTCAATCCTCAGTACCTCCCCCGCTACACACACACAAAATTTCTTCCCTTCTAAATGCTTATAGCACTTTTTCATTCATGAACTGTATTACAATTATTTATGAGTATGTTTATCTCTTATACTAGTCTATGATCCTTGGAGGATAGAGGCTTCATTTTTTATCCCCCCCCCACTTTTTTTTTTTTGCAGCCCTAAAATTGAACCCAGGCGTTGTGCATACTATGCTCTACCACAGAGCTACATCTCCAGCACTTACTTTTTATTTTGAAATAATTATAGACTCACAAGAAGTTACAAAAGTAGTATAAAAAATTATTATTTTCCTTTGATTTTTTTTTTTTTAACATATGGTGTTAGGAATTGAACCTAGGGCTTTACATATGTTAGGTGAATGAATGCTTTACCACTGAGCTTTACCTCAGCCCCCAGCTTTGATTTTTTTTTTTTAAATAACAAAGTAATATTGTAGAAGATAAAAACAATGAGAAAACACAAAATAGATCATCCGTAACACAACTATGTTGATATGACTACTTCGACAAAACTTCACCCCTATGACTAAATATCTCTTCATTCCTTTGTTTTATGGAATGAGGCTGTATAATGTCTATTTTAAACCTAAAATATGGATCTGAGTCTTAAAAAGAATCCTGACAGCATAGAAACTTGTTTTTGTGTGTGTGTCAAGGGGGCTTTATTTTGTTTTGTGATGCTGGGGATCAAACCCAGGACCTTGTGCATACTGGGCAAGCACCCTATCACTGAGCTACACCCCAGTCCAAATTTATTCTTTAAATGTCATCAGAAGGGATGGGATTCTTAAAGCTAGAGGAGTCAGCCCTTGAGCTAGGAGGGAAAAGGAAATATGAGGCTCAGAGGCAGCCCTTCTAAGGGAAAAAGCATGGCTATCTTTTAGGCTATATACTAGATTATTGAGAGGCAACACTTGCTAAGTTATCTGATTGATATTATGTAGCATGAACCAAAGAAATCAGAATGAATAAGTCATTGAAAACAAAGTTGATGGGAAAAGAGAGTAGTAGAAAGGTCATCAAAAGACTGAGTCTTTAACTCATTTTCTACCTCTAGGAGAGAAGCCTTTCCTTTGTGAAGCCCAAGGATGTGGCCGTTCCTTTGCTGAGTATTCTAGCCTCCGAAAACATCTGGTGGTTCACTCAGGTATTAGAACCTATGCCATTTGTAGATTTCAGGAATAGTAAAAAGACAAAAGGTTGGTAGGGGGTAGTATAAAAAAAGTCTGAAAAGAAACAAACTGTTTACCTTAAAGGTACAACTTCCCATCATCTTGACCAAATAAAAATCAGGGTCCTTAATAATTGCATTCAAAGGGTCTTATAATTAATGGGAGATGGGGAATCTATTTTTATCTGAGTCACTGAGGAACTTTCTAATCCAGACCTTTTCTAAGAAGATGAGTAAATTTAGTTAATACTGTGCTGGGTGCTTCCTAAGTTATATCAAACATGGACTAGGAACTGACTTGATTTTTTAAAAAATATTTTATTAGTTGTTGATGGACCTTTATTTATTTATAGTGGTGCTGAGAATCGAACTAGTGCCTCACACATGCTAGGCAAGCACTCTACCCCTGAGCCACGACCCCAACCCAATAGGAACTGATGTTTTTATTGAAGAAAGAAGGAAGATTGATGTCTGTGGAAGCATACCAGTAATATTACAGCCTTCTGAGAAGGAGTGGGTTTTATCTTGCTTCAGTCACCAATTTTATAGAAATGATGCCTTTGGCAATTACAACCTTGTTGCTATTAGTGTAGAAAAGAGAGTTATTGATCCATTCCATTTTGTATATTTAAATTAATTCCCGTAATTCTGTCAATATTCTCTCAATATTCACACAGATGACTGGTTCTCCCTGTTAACAGTGTCTTTCAAAATATCTGAAAATATTCTACACCAACCAGTCCTTTTGAGCTCAATAGAAAAAGCTAAAGTGATATTCTTTTCCTTCCTGTCTTCCCTATCTTCCCAATCCAAAGTCAGGTATAGCTCAGGGAGAAATCTATATTTTAGTGGGACTGTTTCCTGTGAGACTTGGTAAATTATGTTGGAAGCAGGCTGGAAAGATGGTTTTAAAAGGACCTAGAATGCCAGTAAGGAGAGTTTGTGGAGCCTGCCATAGATATAGCCTGATGAGAACTCAGCTTACTGCAAGTTATTCTGGCAGTGATGGATAAGCTAAATTGAAACAGGAAGAAATGAGAAATCTGTTTCTTTTAGTCTGGTCAAGACTCTGCTCCAGGGAATGGCAGGAGCATAGAAACTCAGTGGAATAATTTGTCCAAATCCACAATTGGTTGGATATACAGTAATATTGAAATAGAAGCCGCAGGATAAGACTATTGACTTAAGAAAGAGAAGGGTCTAACCCTTGGAAGAGATAATGGAAGAGCCTATAGACTAACTTGTGTGTGTGTTAGAGGTGGGAAAATGCCCCAGCCATGGTAGGAATTTGTTGAATGAACTAATAACAGTGAATAAAAGGATTGGGAAATAGCAGCGAGGGGGAGGACACAGCTAAGAATAGATGGAATGACTTTTTTCATGGATCTGTTCAGATTTAATGGAATTTTCTCCAAGTCAACAATTTAAAAGCTGGACATTGGAGAAAATGAGCCATGGAGAGTTTTTCAGAGCAGAGATTTGCCAAGGAAAGGTGAACTCAAGGTAGAGAGAGATTCTAGAATGGAATCAGATAATTTTTGAGATGAATATCCATGGGAAGCAAAAAAATCCAGTACAAGAAAAGTGGAGAGAAGGAACTGGAAGTTATTTATAATGAGGACCCTAAGGCAGTTCAGTGGGAACAAGGGATTTGGAGAGGTATAATCAACCACGGATATAAACTTCAGAGTTGAGATCTTAGAGCAAAGCAGGTTTGTTTGTTTGTTTGTTTTAATGATAATTCTAAGTAGACATGGCAAATTGTTATCCTACGGACAGAATATGGACTTCTGATGTGTTTTGCTTGGCTTGTAGAGTGTTTTATCTTACTTAATTTTATGTAAAATTATGTCAGATGTACACAAATATAAAGAAAACATGTTCTTGCAATAACAGTTAACTCTTTGGTTTCATGCTACACTCAGTCCAAGATCAGTTTTTCCAGTTACCTCAAAAATGACTTTTAAAGTTGGTTTGTTTAAATAAGGATTCAACAAAGTCCAATATTACACTATTTTATTTATTTATTTATTTATTTATTAATAAATAAATTTTTTTTTAATATTTATTTTTTAGTATTTGGCGGACACAACATCTTAGTTGTATGTGGTGCTGAGGATCGAACCCGGGCCGCACGCATGCCAGGCGAGCGCGCTACCGCTTGAGCCACATCCCCAGCCCACACTATTTTAATCTAGATCTTTTTACATTCATTTTTTTTTTCATAGACTTGTTGAGAACAGAGTCAATTAGGTCCTTTAGAACATTCCACATTCTAAATTTTTTGGTTAGCTTCCTTCTATGTCATTTGTTTCCTTATATTTCCTGTGAATGGAACTAAAAGCTAATAGTTTCAAAGATTCAGTTTTTTGGTAAGAATTTATCATGAATGGTTCTGTGTGCTTCATTTTGTACCACATCACGAGGCACACAGTGTTTGAATCCACAATTGATCAGTGGTTTCAGGTGATAACAGCCTGCTTTGTAAAGTTCTCTATTAACCCTTCACCTTATGATTTCACTCCCGAATGATGCCTAAATCTGTTATTTCATTAGGAATTGTAAAATGTTGATTTTTCTTGTTCTATTATTCCTTTCACATTAGCTGGAATTCTTCTATACATTGATATTCTTCCCCATCAAGTAAGCACATTTATTTGATCATTTGCACATAATATTTTAATTATGAGTTTTCAAAATAAGGAATTGGTGCTCTGATTACTTTTAATATTTATTTTTCATGCTCATTTTCTTCATTTTATTTTTGGGTTGTTCATTGCTACTATATGGAAATACAATTGAATTATATTGACCTTGAAACATTAATAACAGTTGAGTTTTTATAGATTTTTAAAATAGGTTCCTAGGATATTTTAAGTATGAGATTGTGTCACATAAGAATTGAAATGATTTTACTACTTCTTTTCTAAACTGTATACCTTTAATTTATTTTTCTTGCCTTTTGCACTGGCTAGGACCTCCAGTACAATGTTATTTAGAAGTGGTGAGAGCAGACTTATTTCCAGTCTCAGAGAGCATTTGACCTTTCATGATTAAGTTCAATGTTAACTGTAGTTTTGTTTACATGATTTTTTTTTCCCTCTCTGCATCTCACCTTTCCCCTCAATCCTTTTCCCACTTTCTCCTTTCATGTGCTAGGGATTGAACCTAAGACAGAGTAGGCAAATACTGCACCACTGAACTACATCCCCAGCCCATGTTTTTAACAGTTGAGAAACTTCTATTCTAGTCCTAGTTTCAGAGGTTTTTTTTTTAAATCATGAATGGGTGTTGGGTCTTGACAAATGCTTTTTTTAAAAATGGATATTTATTTTTTAAAGAGATTCCTTTATTTTTTTAAATGGGCCTTTATTTTGTTCATTTATTTATATCTGGCACTGAGAATCAAATCCAGGGCCTCACACATGCCAGGCAAGCGCTCTCTACCACTGAGCCACAATCCTAGCTCCAGACAAACACTTTTCTGATGTCCACTGAGATGACTGTTTTTGTATTGCATTAGTGTGATACATTAATTGATTTTTTTTGTGTGTGTGGTTCCAACTTTGTACTCCTGGAATAAATTCCACTTGGTCATAGTATATAATCCCTTTTATATTGTGCTAGGCTTGATTTTCTCAGTTTGTGTAATGGTTTGGATATGGTTTGTTCCTCTAGGGTGATGTTAAGATGTAATGGAACTTTTATGAATGAGGAAGTCACTGGAGGCATTGCCCTTGGAAGGGATTGATGCTTGTCTTTCAGAGGGAAGACAGTGTTATTTCTCTTGGGAGTTGTTATAAAATGAGACCATCCCGAACACTTGGCCCCTTCTGTACAAGAAGGCTGGTTTACCTCCAGTGTTTTAAAACAGCCAGTCTGACACTCACTAGAGGCCAGATTAATGGGGCTGCTCAATCTTGAACTTTTAGCCTCCAAAACTATGAGCTAAATCAACCACTTTTCTTTATATATCACCTAGCCTCAGATACTTTGTGCTGCAACAGAAAATGGATTAAAACAGTTTGTAAAGGATTTTTATATGTACATTCATGAGGTCTTTAGTTTTCTTTCCTGATGAAGTCTTTTTCTTTAAATATTTATTTTTTAATTATAGGTGTACACAATATATATATATATATATATATATATATATATATATATTTTTTTTTTTTTTTTAATGTGGTGCTGAGGATCGAACCCAGTGCCTCACATATGGTAGGTGAGCGTTCTACCTCTGAGCCACAACTCCAGCCCATCCTGATGATGTCTTTATCTGGCTTTTATATCAGGGATAGTATAAAAATATAGATAGATAAGTCTGCTCTTCTCTTTTCTAGAAGAATTTGTGTTGGATTAGTATTATTTCTTTAAATATTTAAACTTTTACTAATATATAAACTTTCACTAAGGAAGCTTTTCTTTGGAGTAAGACTTTTAATTACTAATTCAGTTTATTTGCTATAGATCTATTCATATTTTCTATTCTTGGTTCAGTTTTTCTAATTATCTTTCTAGGAACTTATTTCATGTAAGTTGTCTAATTTATTGAAATAAAGTAATCTTGTTTCCTTAAAATCATTTAATTTATGTAGGGACTAGTTTTCTTTGTTTGTTCTTGATTTTTATTCCCCTGGCACTGAGTGTGGAACCCAAGGGTGTTCTACACTTCCAACCTTTTTTATTTTTTATTTTGAGGCAGGGTCTTGAGGCTGGGGTGGCCTTGAACTTGGGATCTTCCTGCTTCAGCCTCCCAAATTATCTGGTATTACAGACATGTGCAAGTGTGCATGGCTCTTAAAGGTGTTTTTCTCTTTTGGCCAGTATTTCCTTTTGCAAACATAAACAAAAACATCTATTTTTTTATATTTCCCTCACACAATTTTTTTATAATTGAGATATAATTCATATAAGATTTACCCCTTTTAAATAGTGTGCAGTTGGGTGATTTTTGGTATATTCATATTTTTGCAGTTGTCATCAGTATTCAATTCTAGAATATTTCATCATTCCCAAAATAATCCCCCTATCCACTGGTAGTCACTTCTCATTTTTCTATTCCTTCACCCCCTGGCAACTGTTAATTTACTGTCTGTATAGATTTGCCTGTTCTATAAAATACATTTCATATTAATTAAATTATACAATATGTATCATTTTGTGACCACTTTCACTTAGCATATATTTTTAGAATTCTTTCACATTGTAGCATATATTCACACTGAATTTTAATATGAATGAATAATACTTCCTTGTGTGGATGTACTCCATTTTTTTAAATTATAGTTGAACATAATCTCTATTTATTTATTTTTATGTGGTGCTGAGGATCGAACCCAGGGCCTCGCACGTGCGCTAGGCGAGTGCCCTACCACTGAGCCACAATCCTAGCCCCCTCCATTTTGTCTATTATGAATAAGGCTGTTATCAACATTTCCATGCAAGTTTTAGCATATTAATGTGTTTCAATTTCTTTTGAGTATGTTCTTAGGAGCTGAATTGCTGGGTCATATGGTAATTCTGTTTAACTTTCTAAGGAACTGCCAGTTTTCCAAAACGGCTGCACCATTTTACATTCCTTCCAGCAGTGTATGAGGGTTCCAGTTTCTTCACAACTTTGCCAACACTTGTTTTTGTCTTTGATTGTAGCCATTGTAGGGATGTGGTTATTCTGTAAATTTATTCGATCAGTCTCTGATGGCTGTCTGGAGATTTTCCAGATAATGTTTTCAGGTAGAGAGACGTGGTTTCATTTGATGGGCTAGTAGTTTCCAAACACGTTTTTCTTACAAAGGTAGCACAGTATGTGTATAGTTCTATAGTTATGTATATATATTTTTGTTTGTTTTTTGTGATGCTAGGGATTAAACCAAGGCCTTTGTGTATGCAAGGCAAGCACTCTATCTGAGCTATATCCCCAGGCCTAGTTATGTATATTTTTGTTTTAACCTGACAGTACTTCCTGGATTCACTCCATATCTAATGTATAGAAATTTTCATTATTCCTTTTTGTAGATTCGTTCATAATATTTCACCGGGCTTATATTCTGTAAATTTATTCAGTCACTCTCTGATGAATTTTGTATTGTCTTTAGTCTTTAGCCATTTAAAATGATGCTATAGTGAATAACCTTGTACATAGATGTTTAACAATTTGCCACTGTAACTCTGGAATAGGTCACCTTACAAGTTGAATTCCTAGATCAAAGGACAAATACATTTGTAATTTTTCTAGATAATGTCTGATTCCCTGCCTCAAAAGTTGTAAACTTTTGTGTTATCAAAAGCAATGAAAATTGCTGCATAGTGTTTTTATCAATTGTGTAAATTTGTTCCTAGTATTTACAAGTTGGAAGATTTTACTTAAAAATCTTCAATTCTAGTATCTCTTTAAAAAAAAGAAAAGAAAAGAAAAGAAAAAATATATCAGAGGATCTGATAGTGCTAGGCCTCAGTCCCCACATGGCAACACCAAGGTGGCAAGGAATAGGTTCAAGGGATGTTATAAACCCAGAGTTGGAATGCTTGAGGAGGGTACGTGTCCTAGAGGTCCATTGATGGCTATCTGAAAAGTAAAAGCTGGGTGTGGTAGTGTATACTGTAATCATAGCTACTTGGGAGGCTGAGCTCTGGAGGATCACAAGTTTGAAGCTGGTCTGGGCCACTTAGCAAGATCCTGTCTCAAAATAGAAAATAAGAAGGGATGGGGATATAGTTCGGTAATAGAGTAATCTGAATTTGGTCTATGGTACCAAGGAAGCTGGTTAAATACTTCATGTGGTTGCCATGATCCTATACTGAAGAGGCTGTTTCAGAAGGCCACAGTACAGTGGATCTAAAAAGGACTGAGGCTTGAAGTTATGAGTATGTTGAGCCTTCCTGCTGACCCTTCTTGATTTCCCCATGTATTAAAAGTTAAGAGGCTGACAAAGGTGGGGAATGAGAGGAGTACCCTCTTGTGTTTTTAGTTTAACATTCTCTGACCCTCTTCATCTAAGTCTTCAGTCTACTCTCTTGCTATCAGAATTGCATCCCATCTTTTTGGCTGCCCTGTCTAACCCAATCCTTGTTTTAGGAGAGAAGCCTCATCAGTGCCAAGTCTGTGGGAAGACCTTCTCTCAGAGTGGGAGCAGAAATGTACACATGAGAAAGCATCACTTGCAGCTGAGAGCATCTGGGAATCAAGAACAGGAGCAAACTGGTGAGGATGGTGGGGACATAATGGAGGACTATGTCTTCTAGGTTCAGAGAGCCAAGTCACTGGCCTGCTTGGTTGTCTGGAGATTTTCTGATAATGTTTCAGGTAGAGAGACCTGGTTTTATTTGATGGACTAGTGATTTCCAAACATAGCTATATAATACAATCATCTGTACTCTGTATCTTTTCCTTTCCTTACCCCCCCTCTCCCCTTCCCCCAAGGGTGCTTTACCACTGAACCACATTCTCAATCCTTTTTAAGACATGGTCCACTGAGTTTCTGAGCATCTGTCCATATCCTGAGGCTATCCTCAAACTTGCAGTCCTCCTGCCTCAGCCTCCCAAGTTGTTGGGATTACAGATATATTCCACCATGCCCAGTCACCGGCATTTTTTAAAGCATATATTTTCTTATTACTCATTCTCCTGTCTTCATCCATACAAAACAAAGGAATTTGAAAATGAGATAATTTTAAGATCCCAGAATCTGTAGTTTTAAAAATTTCTCAACACAGTTAACAGTGATGCATGCACAAGAGAAGTGGAAGACTAAGACAGGAGGATCACTGGTTTGGGCAACTTAGTGAGATCCTGTGTCAAAATTTTTTAAAAAGGGCTGGAAGTTACCTCAGAGGTAGAGCATTTCATGCATGAAGCCCTGGGTTTAAATCCTAATACCACACATACACACAAAAGTTTCCCTAAGAGCTGGGGTATCACTCAGTGGGTAGAGTTCTTGTCTGTTGTGATCAAACCCTGGGTTCAGTCCCTAGCACTGGAAAATCATCATCATCATCATCATCATCATCATCAAAAAACAAATAAATAAATACAAGTTCTAGTAACATTTGCTTGTTTTTCCCAGCTACTTGGGAGGTTAAGGTGGGAAAATCACTTGAGCCCAGGAGTTTTGAGATCAACCTGGGCAACATAGGAAGATCCTGTCTCAAAAAACACCTGACAAAAACCATAAAAGTTCCCTTAGTGAGTAACTAGTTCTGGTCCATGAACCAGCATTTGAAAAGCATATAATAAAAGATTTATGTATAACAAAAGTTTAAATGTTTTTTAGATATCATTTGAATGTCTTTTGCCCTATCTTTAATAACTTTTTATTCTTATTCCTTTTTCATGTCTTCTTTAACTAGTTATTCATTCCGAGTACTTCTTTCTGGGTATCTATTCTTTCCATTTCATATGCTATTTTTTAAGATATTGAGCAAGATATTATCCCTAATACTCAACTTCCCTTCTAGATTTATTCTCATTTCCTGAAAATGGGTGAAATGGGATGTGGCATCCAAGATATAGATAAAACTTCTAGCTTCCTTATGAAGGAAGATGAGGACCTGGCCTAGCATTGACTGCTGCATGTCTCTCACACCCTATTCTCTGTGCAGCTGAGCCACTAATGGGCAGTAGTTTGCTTGAAGAGGCTTCAGTACCCAGTAAAAACCTGGTGTCTATGAATTCCCAGCCCAGCCTTGGTGGAGAGACCTTGAACCTACCAAATACCAATTCTATCCTGGGAGTTGATGATGGTAAGACTTGTAATTCTCCTGGGGGAAAGGCTGCAACTTGAGGCTAAGGAATGGGTTGACTCCAGAATGGAGATTTCTTGTGAGTAGCTATGGTATGATTGAGTAGCATTTGTGTTCTTATTCACTGGGGTGGATAGTGAATCTGTGTTTTTTTGGATTTTTTGAGGGTTTTTTTGGTTTGTTTTTTTTTTTTTTTAAATCATTGAAGATGTTGTACTCCAAAGATAAAGAAAAAAAAAATTTAAAGGGAAAATTATCTGTAATCCTAGCATCCTAGGCCAACTCTTTCTGTCTTTCCTATTGCAGTTATGGAAGAACTTAACTTTTAAAACATTTAAACAGAACATAACCAGGTTTTACAGAGGAGATATAAAGCAATTTCTCCATACCTTCAAAAGCCATATCTTCTGGAGAAAAAAAAAGGGGCTCTCTAGGAAACAGTTGCTCCTCTCTGGTATAGAAATTTCACCCAAGTTACACAGGCCAGGCCCTCTTCTCTGAAAAACTTACCAGGTGAGGTCAGCATGCATTTATTCAGTGCCTACTGTGTGCCTGGCACCATGGGAAAGAATAAAAGTAGAATAGGGACCTTAAAATCCATTTGTGATAGAGTAAATGAAAGAGAGTGTATCACCAAGCCTTAAATTATTCAGTAGAGTCTGGAAGAGCAGTGTAAGCCACAAAACACATAAAGGATAAATGAATTGAGAGCTAAGTGATTTCTCTGTAAATTGTTACCAGAAGATTTTTATGGTGATCTCACTAGTTTATATTTTAGTATGAGGTCCTGTGTTTTAGGTATTTATATCTTAGTTTTGGGTGTGACTGTGTTTGTGTAACTTCTGTGTGGAGCCCATATGGGGCTTGTGTGCTACCACAGTATGCCTCCTCTTGTTTCATGAATAATCTGAGTAGATAACCAAAGCCAGAGGCACAGGAATTGCATGAAGCTGCTTTGCCAGCTCTGAGGAAGGCACACTGAGTGAGAACTTTGAAGCCAGGATTAGCTTAAGTTCTGGACCTGCACGTATTGCACTACTGGTGTTATTGGTGACTGTTGCAAGGGCTGGTCAGATTCCCTGATTTGCCTGCCTGAACTTCATTTGGCCTGTTTCATACCCCATTATAGTCCAAGTAACAGTGGTAAAGCCATATTACTCTAAATTGGTTTGTTGAAAAATTATCAGTTTCTGCATCAAGAATTCTTTTTCTTTCATCCTTTTTTTGTAATACTTTCCAAATTTCACTGGTATTGATTATCAGGCAGGAATTAACTTGAAGAAATACAGGAATGTGGGATTCACTTTTTCACAGAACAGTTTTTAGAGTTTTTCTTATTGAAAGGCATTAGGTATATCTGAGAATTTACCTTTCATTGAAGATTCATTTTTCTGTTTCACAGAGGTGCTCACTGAAGGATCCCCACGTCCCCTGTCTTCAGTGCCTGATGTGACACATCACTTGGTGACCATGCAGTCAGGGAGGCAGTCATATGAAGTTTCTGTTCTAACTGCAGTAAATCCGCAGGAGGTAAAACTGTCTCTTGCCCTTTTTTATTTCTATGGTGACTTAAGTGGAGAGTGATTGGGAATCTAGTTTAGAGGAACTGAAAAAATTCTTTATAATTTCCATTTCCTGGCAACTTTGACTGGAGTTTCTTCCTTTAAGCTAAGCAAATCTCGCTTGCTAAGAACTTGAGTATTAGGGTCTTGTGAGTTGGGAGATAACTCTGTCACAGCTGGGACTCTCACTTTTAGAGTTCCTTTATGTATATTCTTTAATCAGTGATGTCTGATTAAACACTGTTTTCTGCCTCATTGTGGATACTGTTTTTATTGTATAAAGAAAATAACATCTACTGGGTGCAGTGGCACTGGCCTGTAATCCCAGCAACTCAGGAGGCTGAGGCCTGAGGATCTCAAGTTACAGGCAAGCCTGAGCAATTTAGTGAGACCCTGTCTCAAAATAAAAAATATAAAGGACTGGGGTAATTTAGTGGTAGAGCACCTTGGGTTCAATCCCCAGTACCAAAGGAAATATCATCCTGGAACAAACCTTTGAGCAAAAAAAGCTTAGTAACAAAACAATTGAAAATAATTAACATTCACCTGCTCTAGTTATAGTCTAAGAGATGCCATACTATGCCAACTGGGCATAAAGGAATGTGTTCAGTTGCTTGTTGAATGAGAATAATTAAAATTAAGGAGGTGTTTCAGATTGATTTTAGGTTCCTACTGTATGGTCTTGGCTCAGACCTAAAGAGTAGAATGGGAATCAGACAGGCTTCTGAAATCTTAGGATATTTTATTGGTCTAGTGTCATGTGAGTACATGACTTCAACACAAGTTTATTTTAATTTTATTTTGAGACAAGGTCTTGTTAAGTTGCCCAGGCTGGCCTGAACTTGTGATCTTCCTATTTCATCCTCCCCTGTCACTGGGATTATAGGTGTGTACCACTGCACCTGGCTGTGTATTAACTTTTGGCAAAAGTTAAGTAGCTTGGATCCCTTAGCTATTTAAAATAAACTTAACTATTAGTTTATTTTTCAGTGCTGTCCCTTCTTTTCCCCCTCTTTCCTTTCATTATAATTTTGCCACAGTGAACTTCTACATTATTCAAATAACTGTGCATTCTATATTGAATATTCTCAATTGTTGTAAAATATTCCTTGGGATCCCCAGGATCACAGGATTCTGGGCATTGTGCTAATGTTCTGCCGGGTCCTTTCTTTGTTCATTCATCGTTGTGACCCTTTCAAAGCCTTGATTCTATTATTTTGAATGTTTTGCTACTGGAATCATTGGTTCAATCTTAAGTCACTTCTTCCGGTTATTGCTTTGAAACTAATTATCTGTCTCACCTTAGGAGCTTTTTCTTTCTCCTTCATTTTTGCCCTTCTTCATTTTTCTGTTTTCAAATACATGTTTCAGAAGTTTTCAGGGAGTGTGGTAAGAGATAATAGTACAGTGAATCTATGTAACTGTCATTCATTTGCAGTAATTAACTTTATACTCTTTTTTAAACCCCCCCATCTTTGTTGTTGCCATTGAGTTTCTGCTGGAATATTTTAAAGCAAATTGTTGACATATCTATAAATTTTTAGTATACTCTCTAATAGACAAGGACTTTCAGAAATAGCTATCTTTACCAAACCCAACAAAATTATAACTTATTGATATCCTCTGGTATTTCAAATATTCATGTTCTTCTTTTTCTTAAAAGTGTCATTTTATAGTTTGTTTACTTGAATCAGGATTCAAACAAGGCCCATATGTTTAATTTAGCTCTTAATTTTCCTTAATAATCCCCTCCTTACCTTTACTCCCCCCTTCCCCTATAGTATCGTTAGCTATTTAAGGAATTGGGTTACTTGTCCTGAAGAATTTCCCTTAAGAATTCTAGTTTTGGCTGATGTACTTTTGTTTAATTTCTCTACAAGGTTTCCTAAAAACACTTATAGTTACATTTAGAAGTTTAGTTAGATTCATTCCCCTCCTGCCTTGACAAGAATATTTTACAGGTGATGCTCTTGCTTCCCATTATATCTCATTGGGAGGCACGTGATAGCACTCACTCTCTTACTAGTCTTAAGAATAACTTGTAAGCCAGGTGTGGTGGTTTACACCTGTAATCCCAGGCGGCTCAGAAGGCTGAGGCAGGAGGATTTCTAATTCAAAGCCAGCCTCAGTAAATTATCGAGGCATTAAGCAATTCAGTGAGTGAGACCTTGTCTCTAAATAAAATACAAAATAGGGCTGGGATGTGGCTTAGTGGTCAAGTGCCCCCAAGTTAATCCCTGGTACCTACTCTGCACCCCCCAAAATGACTTATAGGTTATGTAAAAGTTTGGCAACTATTATCCATCATGGCCTAGATCTCTTTTTATTAAGACTAGCAAAATGGGATACCTGAAATGGTCATTTCAGAAAAATAATTTCCAGGAGATCATCATGCATTGTAGGTCAGATCTATAAGAATCTACTAATGAACTTCTAACTCATGTAAATATTGCTTTAAAAATAACTAGACTATGTGGTGTATGCCTTTAATCCCAGTGACTTGGGAGGCTAAGGCAGGAGAATTGCAAGTTGAGACCATCTTGGGCAATTTAGCAAGGCCTTATCTTATTTTTACCTTACACAAATTATCCTATGACACTTTTTTAAAAAAAAAAATACAGCTTTCCTATACCAATAAATACTTTTTTAAAAAATTGAAGCAGTTCAGGTAACCCCATGTAAAATGCCAGACATATAAAACCTTACTTCATTCAAATGATATTTGTTAAATACTTGATGCAAAGCACACTTTAGGATGCAAGTTATACAATAGTAAACACAATATTGTCTATTTCAGCTTACAGGCAGACCTCTATCTTTTATAACTTCATAACTATATTAATGGTGTCCTAGGAGTTGTGCTGTACAGAGAGGTTAGAATGTGAGGAATGGGAGATCAATAAACCAACAATTTTAACAGTGTATTAAGTGCCTATATGAAGAAAAGTCAGAGAATATACTTTAGAGTTTTTAAGTTGAGACCTAAGGGATGAATAGAAGTCATCTTGATGGAGGAGGCGGAAGAGTTAGAAGAAAATAACTTGCATAAGGGCAGCACTGTACAAGGCAGAGACAGGGAGCGGGATGCATCTCTGAACCCCAGATGATTGAATATGATAGGACATAAAATAGGTAGATGGGCTGGAACAGAAACATGAGAGCTGGAAAGATAAGCTGGTTCCTTCTCTTTTTTTAATATTTATTTTTTAGTTACCAGTGGACACAATATTTTTATGTGGTGCTGAGGGTTGAACCTGGTACCTCACGCATGGTAGGCAAGTGCTCTATTTCTGAGCCACAACCCCAGCCCCTAAGCTGGTTCCTTCTTTTTTTTTTTTTCTTTTAAAGAGAGAGACAGAGAGAATTTTAATATTTATATTTTAGTTATTGGCGGACACAACATCTTTTGTTTTTGTATGTGGTACTGAGGATTGAACCCGGGCCACACGCATGCCAGGCAAATGCGCTACTGCTTGAGCCACATCCCCAGCCCTAAGCTGGTTCCTTCTTGAAGGGCTTTCTAAGACATGATTTTTGTCCTGGGGGCAATAGGGAGCTACTGCATGGGTAAAATATGATCATGTTTACATATGCAGAATTCTAGAAATAGTAAATTTGTTCATTTGAACCTAGGAACATGGGTCTTGGCATTGACCTGTAGATGCTGCCTACTGACAACCTTAGGCAGACTTGGTAACATAGATTGCCTAAAAATCAAAAGAGGAGCCAGGTGGTGGTGGAGCATACCTGTTAAGCCCAGAGACTTTGGGACGCTGAGATAGGAGGATTGCAAGTTCAAGACCAGCCTCCAAAATTTAGTGAGATCCTGTCTCAAAATAGAAAAAGGACTGGGAATGTACTGTAGTGGTAAAGGTGCCCCAGGTTTTACTCCCTAGTACCAAAAAAAATTATTAAAAATAAATAAGTAAAAAATCAAAAGAGGACTTGGAATATAGCTCACTGGTAGAGGACTTACCTAGCATATGCAAGATCCTGGGTTGATCTTCAGTACTGTAAAAACAAACAAAAGAACACAGTAAGTCCTTTACCCCCAAAAAAGCTAAGGGTCTAACAGCCCCTAAGTACCCAATTTCATAATGAAAGCCCTGAACACTTAACAGAAAAATATTAACTCAAAGAGGAAATTGCTGCCTTTAATGTAACTAAAATTCCTGCACTATCACTTTTTACCTCACGTATCCTTGTATATTTACAGACACACCCTCTGCTGAGCCCCACATCTCTTGCCTTATTGTCTTCTCCTTACCATGGATGTTTCCACTGTGTAGCTCCTCTTCTTTTCTAGGTGGGCATATCATATTCTCTAGTACCTTCATTTTAATAAGGCATTCAAGGCTCCAGGCTTAGTCTTCTTCCTAATCCAAGGACTAAGTACTAACTGTCCTTTGCTCTGGTGAGTTAGTTATGTTGATTTCTAAGAATTCTTTTGAGCTGAAGGGGTAGTTCAGTTGTAGAGCACTTTCTTAACATGCACAAGAATATCAGAGGTCAGCTAGGCACAGTGGTGCATGCCTGTAAACACAGCAGCTTGTGAAGCTGAAGCAGGAGGATCACAAGTTCGAAGCCAGCCTCAGCAATTTAGTGAGACCCGGCTTTAAAATTAAAAAGAAAAAGGACTGGGAATACAGCTCAGTGGTAAAGCACCTCTGGGTTCAATCCCTAGTTTAAAAAAAAAAAAAATCAGAGAACAAATCAGGTAACAAATCAGGTATCAGAAATTTCATGGAAAATGTTAAAAAAAAAAACAACTTTGAGCCAACTCTCATTCAAATTCAGGTGTAGTAGCACAATTCCGTAATCCCAGTGACCCAGGAGGCTGAGGCAAGAAGATCACAACTTCAAGGCCAAGCTCAGCAAGGCCAACTGCATACGGGATAATATTAAGAAATTACTGTTACTTTGTTTTAGCTGGGATAATGATATTGTGATTATATTTTTATAAAAAGT